TCTCAAGATAGGAGGAAAAAATAGGTTCTATTTTTTGAGGGCTTTTTAAATAAAATCACTCTGAGGAGCACCCATTTCTTCCCGAGGAATAATTAAATTCCCAAATTGCGGTTCCCGGCCCTCCCGCTCCACAGCGGGTGCACGGAGCGAATGGTGCTCACACGCAGGCACCAGAGGTCCCAGCTCAACCCCTCACGGCGGCACCAACACGCCGAGTCCCCTCAGGGCGCCCTGGAGGGGAGGCCGGTGGGTCGGAACCCGGAGCCCAGCGCCCCAGCTCCCCGAGGACCTTCCTCCCACTCTGCTCCCCTTTCTCCTCCTCCTTCCTGTCGAACGGCAGACACATTTCGTTCTCCTCGGACCCGGGTTCCCCGTCTGTGCAGCCACGCACAGTAGGTGTGTGTATCAGTCAGCGGCTGCCGCGTGACAAACACCCCCGGCCCGGTGCCCTAAAATGGCAAGCGGGTCTTGGTGCTCACAGGCCTGTGAGGCCGCTGGGGGGATCTGGTCCCAGCCGGGCTCGCTCCTGTGTGGGGTCAGCTGTGGTCAGAGGCGGCTTTGATCACCTCCCTCGCTGGACCCCCATGTTTGGGGTCGGCTGGGATGTAGGCTGGCCTGGGACGGCCTTGACTGGGACAGTGAGCCTGTCCTCTCTCTGCTGTCTCTCTCCCCGGCTCCGGCCGGCCAGCCCGGCTAGTCTCACGGCACGGCAGGGCTCTGAGAGCGCAGGAAGGTGCCGGGCCTGGAGGCCTGACCTCAGGACTGGCACACACTGTGGTTTGCCCCCAGGTTAGAGGAGTGGGGACATGGAGTGGGGACACGGAGTGGGGACACAGACTCTGTCTCATCTCGGGGGAGCCACAGTGTGGCAGGGCCACATCCGTGGGTCTCTGTCTCTCTTTTTTTTTTTTGAGACAGGGTCTCACTCTGTTGCCCAGGCTAAAGTGAGTGCCGTGGCGTCAGCCTAGCTCACAGCAACCTCAAACTCCTGGGCTCAAGCGATCCTCCTGCCTTGGCCTCCCGAGTAGCTGGGACTACAGGCATGCGCCACCATGCCCGGCTAATTTTTTTTTCTATCTATTTTTAGTTGGCCAATTAATTTCTTTCCGTTTTTAGTAGAGACGGGGTCTCGCTCTTGCTCAGGCTGGTTTTGAACTCCTGACCTCAAGCAATCCTCCTGCCTCGGCCTCCCAAGTGCTAGAATTACAGGCGTGAGCCACCGCGCCCGGTCCGACCCTGTCTCAAAAAAAAAAAAAATGAGCATTTTCACTCTGTGTGATCAGCACTGTGGCCTGAACGCAGAGGCGGGAAAGCGTTTTGACAAGAAGCAGCGTATGGAGGGGAGACAGGCGCCGCAGCCTGCATCCGGTATTCCCAGGAAGTGCTGGCACTTCCCCACGTTCGGAGACCACGACTAAGAAGGCGATTGGGCAGACCACGGGGAACCTCTGCACACGGCCACGGGACCGCGTCGAGGCGTCTGCAGTCACTGGGACCGTGTCTGCGGACGCACGCAGACCACGCAACCCCCTCGTGTCCTGGGGAGTTCCCGCCCGAGCTCCCTGCAGGGAGCGAGCGCTCCAGGGTCTCGGCCTCGCTGCCGGCCCCTCTGCCGGCTCCCTGGGGGGTCAGCCCTGCGCAGGCTCCTCTCCGTGGGAGGGAGGGACCCCGCCCTGCAGCCCACCCCGGGCCGCACTCTCCGGCCAGGCGGGGGAGGGGCTGGCAGTGGACCCGCAGGACGTCCCACCGGAGGGACCCCAAGGCACAGGCTGCAGCGAGGACGGAAGATGAGGTCGGAGAGGCAGGAATAAAAGCTCCTCTGTCATCCGGCTCGGCAGCGACGAGAAAGCTTCCTTCTGAGCAGTTTCAGTTTCGAGAGACGAAAACAAGTTCTTCCCGTGGACGGTGGTGACGGTCACACGGTAACGTGAATGTGCCTGATGTCCCCCAACCGCATCTACACCTACAAATGGATAAAATGGTAAATTCTATGCTGTATGCATTTCACCAGAATTAAAAGCCAAAATCTTAAAAAGCCCCATCTTGGCAGAAGTTATAAGCCCAATGACTTTTTCTGAGTCCTGTCTGGTGGTCGCAAATGAGGACGGGTCAAGAAGATAGTCTGGGCCGGGCGCGGTGGCTCACGCCTGTAATCCTGGCAATCTGGGAGGCCGAGGCGGGAGGATCGCTCAAGGCCAGGAGTTCGAGACCAGCCTGAGAAAAGAGAGAGACCCCATCTCCAATAAAAATAGAAAGAAATTAGCTGGGCAACTAAAATATATAGAGAAAATTAGCCAGGTGTGGTGGCGCGTGCCTGTAGTCCCAGCTACTCGGGAGGCTGAGGCAGGAGGATCGTTGGAGCCCAGGAGTTTGAGGTTGCTGTGAACAAGGCTGATGCCATGGCACTCCAGCCCGGGCAAGAGAGTGAGACTCTGTCTCAAAAGAAGAAGAAGATCGACGACAACACGAGTCAGGGCACAAAATTACCACGTTAGAAATAAAATCTTCAGCACTGTGAAGAGATAGAAGGATGTCACAGACAAGCTGCACCGTCTGAGGGGCCTGTTTTCCTCCCCTGGGTCCGGGGAGCCTGATCACTTGCTCGGACCTGCAGAATGTGCCAGAAGTAACAACACCAGGTGAGCCCCTGCCCGGGTCTCCAGGAGACCCCCAGCTTCTGTGCTCACCGTGTGGGGACCCACAGCCACTGAGCAGAGACCCCCGGGTCCCCCAACAGTGACAGCCAACCCCAGAGCCACCTCGCTGCCTTGGGGGCCACAGATGCCCACAGAGCAGCCCAGTTACCTGGGCGACCCAGTTGACCCCGGCCCCAGGTGAGACCACCAGGCCAGGAGCCACCCAAGGGCTTGTTGCTTTTCACCCTGAGTTTTAGTTTCGAGCCAATTTGTTACGCAGCAAAAGCTACCTGGCAAGCCAATACATTGACAATTTAGATGACAGGGACAAACACATAGAAAATTTGCCAAAGGTGATACAGGACAAACAGAACATCTCAATAATCTTTTGTGCGTTAAAGAGATTGAATCTTCTGTTTAAAACTGCGTCACGGAGATGTCTCCAGGCCCAGAGGGGCTCCCTGGTGAACTGTTTCAAACAGTAAAGAAAGAAAGAAGCGCACTTAAAAGTATAAACAAAAAGGAAGGAAGGAAGGAAGGAAGGAAGGAAGGAAGGAAGGAAGGAAGGAAGGAAAACACATCTCAGGATGCCAAAGTTCTCCCCATGCCAAATCGGACAAGAGGAAATCGGAAGAAAGGTGATTGTGGTCCAGCTCTTGTGGACACAGATGCAAAAATCTAAACAAAACATTAGCAAATCGTGTCCAGTGAAATCTTTAAGGATAATACACTGCAATTGAATTATTTTGTCTTCTTATTTATTTTTCAACTTTAAACAAATGTCCTTTAACTGACACGAATCCTCTATTTAACCCAGATACTGAGCTTTTCACCTCAAGTTCTATGCTGTGTTTTTAACAATTCTACTTTGTTCCTCGTCCGTCCGGCCAGTTGTTCGTGTTTCCTAACGCTCTGTTCTTGTTTCGTGGGTGGTGTTTTCCCCTTCATCTCTCTGAGAATTGGGTTTTGAACAGATGAATCCCGAAGTTCCTTTCTGATTGCTTCTGCACGTCTCTGGCTTCTCGGGGTGAAGGTTCGTTTGTTGGGTCTCCATGCTCTCTCATGAAGCCTGTGGCCCCAGCTTCTCGGGAGGCTGAGGCGGGAGGATCGCTTGAGCCCAGGAGTTTGAGGCCGCGGGGAGCTGCGATCGCACGCGTGAATCTGCACGCTGCACTGTAGCCCGGGCCACGGGGGGACCCATCTCTAAAAATACACACACACACACACACACACATACACACACACACACATGCTTAAAACAGCACAGCCGGGCCACTGGGTGATGCGGTGGGTTGAATAGTTTCCAAGAGTCCACGTAGAACCTCGGAAGGCGACTGTATTTGGAACTAGCGACTTTGCAGACGTAATTAACCTAGAGGAGGTCGCGCCGGAGCAGGGCACACAGGGACAGGCCCGGCACGCAGGGAGGGTGGCCGTGTGAAGACAGAGGCAGGGAACGGGGTGACGCAGCCACAGACCGGGGGACCCCTGGGGACCTCCCGGAGCCACCGGGAGCCGGAAGAGACGGGAAGGGCCCCGCCCTAGAACCACAGAGGGACCATGGCCCTGCCCGCACCTGGACGCCAGACTTCTGGTCCCCAGAGCCCGAGAGAACAAACGCCCGTCGTTCTGAGCCCCTCGGTCTGTGGGTCTTGGTGAAGGCCACCCTGGGACACTCCGACAGGGGGGTCCTGCCTCTGCGGGGAGCCCGGCCCGAGGGTGCAGCTGCTCCTGTGAGCTTCATGCCGGTGCATTTGCCACCTTCGTTGTGTCTGGAAGGAGCCTGGCCTGGTTGCCGTGGCGACGTTGTCCATCAGCCCCCTCCCCCCGGCATCAGGTGCGGAAACCTCAGTCTACGGAGCCCCAGTGACCGGGAGAGACAGAAACCTATGCATCAGCAAAACCAGCGAGCTTTCCTGAAAAACTTTCAGACAAAATATGCTGCTGGTATTTTGAGGAGGAAGAAGAAAGGGAAGAGTCGGGACCCTCCGGGGAGAGACGGGAGAGAGGGACGTACGTGCACCTGGCAACCGCCGGGGCCAGCGCTGAGGGTGGCAGGCGTCAGCTCCTTCTCCGTAGGGGCCGGGACGAGGATCGGGGGCTGTCCCTGTCCTACAGGCCCTCCCTGGTCACACCACCCGCCGGGGATGGCAGCTCTGGGCCCCGGGTGGCCCCAGCCCAGCCCAGCCACGAGGCGGCTCACTCGGACGCAGCCCGGCCCGTGCACAGCTGTGTCCTGCGCTGAGGGTCATTCCTGGAGCCCGTGCTCCCTCCTCTGGGCTCCCCGGGAACTGTGGCCGGCCTCGCAACTGGGCCGGTGTGAATGTCCCTGCCGCAGGACCAAATAACGCCTATCACTGAATGTCAGAGCCAGTGTCGTTTTTATTATAGGAACGGCCAGAAAGGCCAAAGCAAACACTTCCCAGCGCCCACCTCAGCCTCCCTTTCCTGCACGGGGCCCGAGGCCGCCCCAGAGGCAGGAGCCAAAGCCACCTGCGTTCACCCCAGCCGGCCGCCAGCTCAGACGTGCGGGAGCCTGCAGAGCCGAGCTCAGAGGTCTGGCGTCCGTCCGTCCGCCCGCCTGGTCTTCCCGTTGCTCCGGCTGCAGCAGGAACACCTGTGCTTTCAGGCGCGAGGTGCTGAGAGTTGCGGCCCAGGGAGAGGAGACAGCTGCCCCCACCAGGGGACCCGGCGGCCGGGGTGAGGCCGCCCGCAAGGAGAGGTCTGGGATCCGAAAGGGGGTGGGGGTTTTCACGCAATCTGAACTGCAGGTGCCCAGGAGGAATAAAAGGGGCGGAGGCAGGTGTCCCCGACGTTCTCCTTTCATACAATTCTCTCTGTTACTCTGGGCTCTTCCTTCCCCAGGTGTTTCCCCGAGGTCCTACCGCGCCGGACTCACGCTGGAGGTGACTGACAGCTCAGCCGTTTCGTCCAGGACTGAGATGGGTCTTCGTCCATGCCCGTCTGTGTTTCTGTCCTTGGGAAAGTTGTTTGGTTTTTGTTCTGCCGTGACGGGCCACATCCTTGTCACGCGTGCTCCGGAGCTTGCTCGCCGTGGCCGCCATCCACACGTGTGCACATCTGACCGCTGACTCCCCGGACTTCTGGTTGCCCACCTGCCTTCCACGGGTGACGCCTGCACGGCCCTCGGCTCTGCTCTTGGTCCTCGTGGTGGGTCAGGGGACTGTCCCAGGCTGGACTGGAAGGTTCTGCGGAAAGAATAGTGAACTTGCCTCACCGGGCCGTGGTGGAGACCACGTGATGGGTCCACAGACAGCATTTGCACCGCAGTCCACACACACATGGGTAGGGAAGCACCCTGTGGGGATGCACAGCCTCTACCCTGCCTGCAGCAGGTGCTGGCACACACCTGTACATACCTGCAGACACCTGCACACACCTGTATGCACCTGCATGCACCTGTACACCTGTATGCACCTGCGCACACCTGCATACACCTGCATGCACCTGCACACACCTGCACACACCTGCACACACCTGCACACACTTCCTTCTCTGCTTATTATGCAAGTTGGTTTTGATCAGACGTGGAAGTTCAAATTTTATTGAAAGTATTTTCAGCACCTTTTTTGTGATTTTCTTCTGTTTCTATATTTTCACCGAATGTTGCATAAATCTCATCAACTGATTTGCCTGTATTAAAAGCCATAATCTCCTGGATTGATTCGATTTACTACTGTTTGATTTAGGAATTTACTTCTATGTTTTCAATGCAGTTGGACCATATGGGGTTTTTCTCTTTTTTGTGCAGTTTCTTTTTCTGGGTTGGCCATCGGGGAAGATGAGTTGGGTTTTTTCCACAGTTTCCTCCCACAGCAGGCACCCAGGCCACATGCCGCTGTGGGCCTCCTCCTCCTCCCGCACCTGCCCAGGAACCCGCACCCAGTCTCGCCGCGGGCAGTGGCTGGCGAGGAGCAGCCCTGCACGGCGCCGGTTCTGCTGTCCTGGTCTCTGGGAGGTGCAGGGTCTGTGGGGAGCGTGCAGAGCAGACTGTCACCAGCACGCTCCATTGTGAACATGTATTCTTCACGGAGTCTACTTTACCTTCTTTTCAACCACTTTGGTGCAGCACTCACCGGCCGCAAAACCTCGCCCACAGCCGGCGCTCACAGTCCGCACGGCAGTCTGTGCTGCGCATTGACGACGCGTCCGTTTTGCTCTTGTGTGATGCGGAAAACTTGAAAGCCCTGAAAGCTCGTTTTACTTTACAGGCAGCTTTCCTTGTATTGTAAATCAGAATAGGTAACATATACATATATGTTTTCATTACATTATTTTTAAATGTTCACGATTTTATTTTGATAGATGAAAAATTAGAAAAGTCATATCACGGCTGTCAGCTAAAGTCGCTGCACGCGTTCATCTGTGGCTGTTGGCTACAGTGGATGCCAGGCCGTGCACGTTCCTCTGTGGCTGTCGACTATAGTTGACCCCAAGCCGTACAAGTTCATCTGTGGCTGTTGACTACAGTTGACACTGGACCATGCATGTTCATCCGTGGCTGTCGGCCACAGTCGACGCCGGGCTGTGCGCGTTCATCTGTGGCTGTTGACTATAGTCAACACTGGACCATGCACGTTCATCCGTGGCTGTCGACTACAGTCGACCCCGGGCTGTGCACGTTCATCTATGGCTGTTGACTATAGTCGACACTGGGCCATGCGCATTCATCTGTGGCTGTCGGCTACAGTCGACGCCCAGCTGTGCACGTTCTTCTGTGGCTGTCGACTATAGTCCACACTGGACCATGCACGTTCATCTGTGGCTGTCAACTACAGTCGACCCCGGGCTGTGCACGTTCATCTGTGGCTGTCAACTACAGTCGACGCTCACACCGAAGTGGTTAAGAGCGCTTTTGTCCCATTCAACACATTTTGACAATGGCATCAGCATGTTTGCTTTTGTTCCTCATCGACAACACTGACAGCCACGCACGCTGGCTGCCGTGCAGCGTCATGACAGGTGCGCAAGGCGGAAGGCTGGACCACGCCGACCAACAAACTTGGCATCTCTTTCCGAGAGAACGCTGGACATCTACTCTTCCAGCGGCACCGTGCTCGGGTTGCGAGGCGGGTCCCGGAGCTCGTCCTCCTGACACTTGGTGCCGTGACCGAGGAGAGACTTGCTTCCCGGCACGGACACAGGTGGGACCGACCGCTCTGCGCAGAGACCAGAGGGCACGGGGTGGCCGTTCTGTCGGGACCGGGAAAGGGAGTACATTGCTTTATTGTTTGACAGTTCCTGGCGTGCATTTTATTCTTTATGCTCCATTTTCCTGTGGGCAGGTCTGCAGTGAACTTGACCCAGCCGTAACAATTGCTTCCTTACTTTAACGGTCTCTGTCTTTCGTAGAATTCTCACCCGCTCCCAAATATTGTGATGCTGACGTATTGGGGCCGATTCTGCCTTTTCTTCCCACTTGCCTGACTTTCCTCTCCTGCCCCGTTTCGGGTTGAATTTTCTTCGTTCTGCTTTTCCCTTTTGAGAATCACCTATCCAGCTCCCGGTAGTTTTTTTTGAATTCTTAAACCTAAGTTACCTAAATGTTTAAAAAGTGCGAGCTCATTATGAAAATCGCAAGGCAATCCGGAAGACAAGGAAAGAATCAAAATTTAAAATCTTACTGTGCAAAAACGACTCTTTGCTGCCTCTGGTGAGCATGAGTCTGGACAAATCTCTAGGCTCAGATATTGGGAGAAGAACGAAAGAATAAACAGACAAGGCTCAACTGCGTAAAAGGAGCATGGTACAACGTGTTAATTTCCATTAAGAGTTTTACGTTTTACTCGAAATTGACACATTTTCCTAAAGTAAAAGTGAAGGCATTGCTGAGATGACTTGTTCCTTTGCCAAAATAATTATGTTCACTGCTAGGTCCAAAAAAAAAAGTCCCACCAAATCTGGATAGGGGAGTAAAAAAATGACAAAAATATATTAAAAGTTTGGAGCAGTTTTAAACTGATGCTTTCAATTCTAAACAGTTACATATTCACTCACTGGCTCTGAACTATGTGGAAATTCTCATGTTTTCTTGCCCCTACCCCCGGGTTCTGCTCTGCGACATCTCGTTCGGTGGCGAGCTGGGCCGACGCCGGCTTCTCTCTGCCGGCGCTTAGAACTGCACCTGCTCGGCTGGGATCTGCGTGCCGTGGTGCGGAACATTCCGGTCTTCTCGGCGTTTGAATTCGGGTGCCGTTTTCCTCCCATTGCATCTCTCATTGTGTTAAAATATGCACGACATATAGAGTCTGCCATTTTAACCATTTTTAAGTGCTGGGCTTCCCCGCTGGGCTTCGCTCCAGGGCCAGAAGAACTTTCCGGAACCCGGAGCTGCCTGAGAACGGGCCAGGCGTCCATGCGTGGGAGTGCTCACGTGCTCACCCACGTGGCTGCCCGGCGGGCAGATGTGTCCACTTCATCGACACGGAAGAGGCACGCAGAGCCCGGTGACCACATGCCTCCCCCCACCACCGACCCCCAGCCACCGTGTCCCCACGTGAGTCACGTGACTGACCTCTGAGGCCAGGCCTGGCGCTGGGGCTGCCGTCCGCGGGGACGCCGGGCAGCTGTGCGTCTACACGGCAAGCAGCTCCCACCAAGCAGCTATTTACGGCCCCTTCCCAAGCAGAAATGTAAGGAGAAGCATTCGCAATGTTGACTTCGTTTCATAGGACACGGGAAGAGGCCAAACGCAAGTCTGGTTCCGAAAAAGCACACATGGCGGAGCTGGAAACCCCGGTCCGCGTTCAGCCGCAGATACCACTCGGAGAAAATGTCTCGTTTTGTAAAAAGAAGCTGCGTGTTGACAAATGTCTCCCCCCACCCAGACTCTGCAGGGGTTTCAAAGCTCCCAGTGGGGGTTCCGCAGGTGTGGGGGTGATGCCTGCATCTGGCAGCAGGGACGCCCCTGTCCCGCCCCCCAAGGGTCCCCAGCTCCACCCATGGCCAGCCGGCCGGCAGTGGGTCGGCTGCTTCCACCAGGGGACCCCGGCACTGGCCCCGTCCAGCCGTCTTGGGGGTGCCGGTGCAGAGGCAGCAGGACAGAGACCACTGGACACGCAGCCTCGACCTCCCCTTGGGCACTTGGAGACCAGCAGCCCCCCACGATGGCCACCGGGGAAGTGTGCCCTGCCCCTCCCGGCTGGTCCCCTGGCCCCAGCGTTGAGGTCTCACTGGGCGCCTTTAGAGTTAAGGGCACACCTGCACAGGTGGCACCTTCCCACCGTCAGCGACCCACCTGCTGCCTCCCCCCCACCGAGCCACACCCGCCCTGCCCACATGACCACGGCAGAACCCCCCCACCCCCCGACAGCCCTGGGCTCTGCCTCAAGCGTGCACCTGTCCCTCCTTGCTGCCCCCAGCTCCTCACTTCCTGGTGGTCTCTCCTTGACCATCAGCTGATCCGCTTCACGTGCACACATCTGTGATTTCCCCGAGTTTCCTTCTGGCTTTGATTCCTGACTTCACTGCATTGTAATCAGCGATCCTACTTTGAATCCTCAGAAAGCGTCGGAGGCTTACTTCACAGCCTCGGGTGTGACCCGTCCGGAGAAGCTCCGCGCGAGCTCGGCAAGAGCCTGCACCTCTGTCGCTGGGCGTGGGGCTCTCGGACGCCGGTCAGAACTCTTGGGTTCCGTACGTTCCAGTCTCTTGTTCCTCCTGCTCCGCCTGACCTGCTGCGGCGTTTTCTCTAAGGCAGGTCTGCTCGCCGTGAGTGAGTCGTCTTGGTTTCTGTTTATCTGAGGATGTCTTACGTCACCCTCGTTCTGAAAGATGACTCTCTGGCTATGAGAATCTAGCTCTGCAGGTTTGTGTTTTTCTCCTTCAGTGCTCCAGTGTGTCATCCCACCGCCCTATGGCCGCCATGGCTTCCGGTGACAAGTCGGCTGTCAATCTTACTGGCGTCTCCTTGCACACAATGAGGGTTGCTCTGGTTTTAGTTTTTTCTTTCTCTTGCTGCTTTCAAGATGTTCTCTTTGGTTTTTGGCTTTCAGCATTTTTCCTATGGCGAGTCTAAGTGTGGACTTCTTTGCATTTATTTTACTTGGAATTCATAGCATTTCTTTGTGTATAATGTTTTCAGTAAATGTGGAGAATTTGTAGTCTTTATTTCTTCAAATATTTTTTCCCGTCGTTTTTCCCTCTCTTCTTTTCAACTAAACCTCTGATAAGTGTGCTGATGTGTTTA